TAATCTAATTTTACTATTGAGAATTCGCCTTAAGTGTTAAAGCAAGGATACACCTACGTAACTTTTGAAGTGATGTGGTAGATCTCTGAAGTGCCAAACAAAGGCCCAATAAATTTTTTGTTTAATCAAACCTTGTTTCAAAAACACCGAAAGCAAATCCTTTTTAGTGTATGCGTTAATGACTTAATTGCTCTAGGACATCACATAAGTAGTCACAAAACTGGACTCGCTTACACCAACCTCTTGTTGCATAAAGTCCTACAGAAGTGGCTACTTCAATGTGAAATCTAACGACTTTACATTAGAGACAATAAAAAAAGCCTTTTTATCCAGAAATTAAACTAGATTTCATCCGGTTTGTGAGTTAAAAGTATGCATCTTCCAGCTTACGGCTATTTGATTGGCTGCTGCAAGTAACGTGTAGCCAATCATATCCATGGTTTAAGTCATTTGATTCCCGTGTAGTTTTGATGACTCAATCGAGCTATTCATGGGAATTACTTTTGACTCACTTTCATATTTCGCCTAATTGTCAACAGATACTCACCCAAGACCTACTTCCAACTTATACCTAAGATAATATTTGGCAGAGTATTTCATAACGATAATCGAGGTGAGGAATTTCCAATTGCCCATTGAGGTCGTCACCGCGTCGGTTTCTGATGCATAATTGTTTTGGAGGCTCGAGAGTAGACTGATTACTTTGTCGCTGTTCTCCGTATTTTAAAACCATATTTTGTATTAAGTGCTTAACCTAAATAACCTATTTTTATGTAACAATGGGGCGAAATCACTTCAGAGTGGAAGTAAATAATAGCATTTAGACTTGTATTGACTACTAAGACCTCCTGAATTTTCCACATTATGCAAAAATGTGTGCTTGACGTGTTTACTCTCCTTATAAATATAATACATTGCGAAAATATCTCCTCTAATCCGATTTATCCATGGAGGAATTATTTACATTGAATGTCAGCTTCTTCTAATGACTAAAATGCTACTTTTATTTGAATTTGAAATGAGTTCTTTGGTCATCCTCTATGTTCTCTCAAGTATGGCGAGTTACTTGATTTACTCCTTTAAATACTGCTAAAGATTTTGGAGGGATTCAGCTTTTCACAGCTTCCACTCAAGCTTCCAATCATGCAGTCTATAGACTTCCTCAATTTTTAAACAGCATAGTCCAAAAGCAATACTGCAAAACATTTTAATTCTTTTGGAAGACTGGAAGTGTGCTTAAGGAATAAGGCATGTCTATTAAAACAAGTGTCGTTGCTACTGAACTTCCGTTTCTGCATTAGTTATGCGATTGGTGTAGGTAGTTCATTTAGTCGACTAATGAAGGCATTAAATGTCGCCTACTTTGACTGATTTGGCATTTGTCTGTTGGCAGGGTACTTAGTTGCAAAAACGGCTTCAATGGCTCCAAAAAGGGATTGAAGTTTTCGTGACCTTGCGCCAAGACACGAGAATGCGGCTACTTTGCCAATCTACTCCATGACAAGCTTTTAAAAATAGACTATGTTCGGTAAAAGTACAGCCTGAAAGTGAATAATTTTTGATATTTTCTAAATTTTAGGCCTACAAAAGCGCTACATACGCAAAAATGGTTCTGGTGGACACCAATCACCACCACGATTGGCGCCAATACAATTGAATGTGCTGGCTCTCTGCAACACTTCCTTGGCCAATCGGTTACCGCGGGTTTACATGGAGGAGACGGTTTCAATAGATGGGTAAATTCCAATTTGTGAACTTTTTTAGATATTTAAAAGTTATTTTGTACATTTCTCCCAAATTCTTTTCAATTTTAGGGATACACAGGTAGAGGATAAAAAGCGGAACAAATTCTATTTACTTTTCAAGAAGGGTGAGTTTATCATCGAGGCTCCAAGTCTGAGCCTAGGAAGTGAGATGAGCCATGCACCTATTTGTAGCACTTCCCTTCGCATTCTTTTAGATCACCATCAAGAATAGAGCATCATGCAGTTGGACACTTATCAATCATGGCTCCTGTAGTTCGTGCATCAAGATGTTATACCCTCTTAGTTTTTTGTTTTCTATTCCTGTGCAATTAGGAAGTGGGTCAGAAATGAGGGATTAAAGTGGACTGCTGCATTCTCTAGTAAAATGTTAACCTTAGATTCACATGAGATGAAGAAAAATTTACTTGTAGGACAAATGTTGCCTATATTAGCATCTGGAGTTTTACTGAAGTCGATATGATCCAAAGCAATATAAAATTGCATGCTAAATGCGTATAGCGGAGTTTTGGGGGCTCTTAGTATCCTCCCGAAGGTTTTGTAGCAGAACGGAAGTGTCCGTGGTGTTAAGCAGACAGCTAAACACAATATCAAGCCTGTACACTTTTGACCTTACTGAACTCGATGCACATTTTCACACTTCTGCCATTCCACCTCCGATTTCATAACCACGGTACCATAATGAATGACTTGAGGAAGACATCTTGTATTGTAGCAGTTTAAGCTATCATGAGCAAATAAAGTTTCACTAAAGGATCAGATTATGTTCCCTCCTCCTAGGGAAGTAATGACACCGTCTGTCCCACATAGTTCAAATTTCCCACTTGACAACTAAAAGGTGTATTCAAAAAATTCAAACATTGCACCAATAGCAGTATGATGTTATACTTTTGAGTTCCAAATGGTATATATATATATATGAAAAAACATTATTTCGTGTATCAAGGTACAACCAGTACAATGTTAAAGCCTGGGGGGAACTATCGAGAGTCATAAAAAGTGCAAGAACATTTCACCAGTTTTTTTAAAAACAGCTCGCTAATCACTTTTGCAGAGTTCGGAGGGCTCAAACCCTAGAGCTGGTCAAACGTAGTAATTGTCCCTAGGGAGAGAGGGAATGAGTTGCGAAACCAGCACATGCCGGAGTGTAACAGCGGTTGTGTAAGAAAACGAGAGCAGCAGAAGTTATTAGGCACCAAGACAATCGCCACACCCTTAGCAGTATAAAAAAGTGTCAGGATTTCTGTAGTCATACGTCTGTTATACTCTACTTCGATGTGAAGCTCTCAGCGACTGCGATTCGTGAAGAGTTTTGTCTTCCGTGGAAGGTGTGAAATCCATAAAAGCATCTAAAATGGCGGAGTAAGTTCTGAAACCAGAAAACAGGATAAAAAGCCGTGTAATTGGTGGACAGAACCGTCATATAAGTCTTCCATTTGATGTATTCTGGTAATCATGTTCCTGAGGGCAATTCTTTTGAGGTCGTTCTGTCGCTAGTAAAGAATACCTCTGCTGAGTCTAGTCTGAGCACGCTTTCCCTGACACTTGACTTTATATATTTAGGAAAAGTAAAGCATTACAGTACTTCGCTAGGAATTCGTCCATATTGCCATTGGGTTTCTAATTTCAAGATGTCGTCACTAGGTGCCGCCTACAGATCCTAATCACCCACGTTTCTACCTTCTGTGTAGCAAATGTATCCCCAACACCATTCGCCAACGGGCAATTTCCGGAAATGCTTCGAAGTTAAGCAGTGAGGAACACCTCTAGCCAGCGTGGACAGGAGCCAAGAAGAGCCAACGCCTAGTATAAACGTGGTTATAAGGTTTCACTTACTTCTGATGGATCACTATGTCACGAAGACCAAATGGTCGTTCAGCAGCCTTGACGGACTAACCCTCCAGGCATTTGGTTATATAAAAAGTGAAATCCCTAGGTTAGTTAGAATGCTGCTGACCAAAAGTTTATGGCGTTAACTACACGACTCCAAATCTTGGCCGATAATTTGTGAAATCTGATGACGGATGTTATTTGTCCGGAACAGTCCTTAGTAGTCAGTCTGCGCCCATTGCCATCGGGCAAAGCGTCCATTGACATTAATGTTGAAATTGTATAGATACCACCTTTAGGTTTCGTCCATAGACACAGAGGACGAGGTAAGAACACTATCTTTCTTAGTACTCCAATAGTTGTTATATAGCCGCTAAGATGTAGCTAATCCCAGTGCTGGAGAAATTACGACGTGATCCTCAAGATGCGGTGTTCCATCATGTGCAATGGAAATTTCTCAAGGCGTTTGGAGGATTATGAAAGTCTTATTAAATAAATGCAGGATAGAATGGTAACATTTCCATGGATGGCAAATTGGATCAACGAGTGAAATTGGCTATGGCTGTGCAAGCTGACAACTAGAAGCACTTATATTTCTGTGAAAGATTGACGAATTGGGTTGCTACCTTATATAATGGATTTGAAACCGGATTGCTGGCTATTTTGAGAGTAAACATATGATGCAATGTTTCATCGTCGGATCACTGCAGTAGAGGACTTCGCTGAAAAAACTGTAAGCATATGAGATGAATTTCAAGGTTTTCTGATCAGTGATGATAACCTTGTGCCAAGCAAATTCTTGCGAGCTGTTCTAACTGTAGCGTCCCGAGACCCCCTGAAGACGAAAGAAGACACAATACTCGGGCAGAATATATATTCAGCACGGAGAAGGCTTTTGGGCTACTGGCATGGCCCGAAGGCCAGCCCACCCAGCGAGGTACAAGAAGGCAAATTCAAAAGCTAGCAGCTGTTTTCTGGTGCAGGTCTTTGAGCCGTTGCATGCAAAATGGATAGCGCTTAGGCTGTCAAGCTTTTGGCAAATGACGCTTCGAGGTTGATAGGTTCGGTCGATTACCTCGAGTAGCACAACCTATAGCTCTTTTTTGACGGAATCCAGCTAGCATAATTTATTAAAACAACTTAACAGCATTACTGACTATCTTTCTTATTGGCAGCCATTAGTTGCAAGTTTAATAAGTGACATAGATATCAAAAAAGAATTTAAAAGTATGAAATGCTTCTAAGATAATTTTCTTAAAAAGATCACTAATTAGTTTAATTGCAAATGCATGCTACACCTAAAAGAACAAACACAACTTTGTTTTAGTACGTGTAGAGTAGGAGCGGCGTACAATCGCCAATGCATGCTGTGGTAGCCCGCGCCTTAAACGTGGCATTGGTATCCTAATGGAGTCTTTTGTTATTCCTGGTATAAATATTTTCTTAATGGTTTACCAAAGGAACATTTCTCGGATTTAAGGATGAGAAGACAGTAGAGGGCGATTTTACACATGTTCACTGTGGGAAAATTCTCGCCACTGTTGCAGGCCGCGTTAATAAGTCATTAGAATCAGATTCTCGAGTAATGCTGAAGTAATTCAGTAATGAAAACTTCAGACCAGGATATCCGTTTTACCCATTCGGAAAGCTTGCCCGACTCCCGACGTTGGTTCAATCGTCATCGCAAAGGTGTGTATCGATCTAATAATTTGGTTCTACGGCATTAAATAGCGAAAATTCAGGCAAATATTAGCAAACGTATAACGCTGGAATTCACTTTGTCTGATGTCCTTTTCGGGCTTTCTCCCATTGAGAAAAGCCCCTGATGTTTCTTTTATAAGATGCTACTAATAATGATACCGACAGTAGCACTGGCCTTAACTTGTCACCTCTCCAGATTGCCAACATTACGCGTCGTTTTGCCCGCTGTGACCTCGTTGCAATAGACGACCGACCTCTAGCCGGCAAATTTCGTGGCATGATCCGCCGTGAGGATATTCGCGCAACCCAGCGGGATCGTGCCGAACCTACACTCTCCTTCCGTCCCGGTGATCTGGTCCGTGCGCGAGTCATAAACATTGTGGGCTCCAGTTCTGGTGCATACGCCTCCACCTGCCTCCCTGAGGCGGAGGCATGCTGCGCTGAGGTAGGTGAGGTGATTGCGGCGGCACGTGCCGTCGCTGGTGCTGTCCAACCCTCTCCAGCGCACGGGGTTACTGGATCAAGTGCTGCTACGACCACTTATCTCCTCTCTACGGCGGAGGAAGAGCTTGGTGTGGTGCTGGGCCTCGGACGCCCTCCGCTCAGCGGAACCGCTAATGTTCTCGGTGCCACCTCTGGATGCCCTCTTTTGCCTACCAGCTGGACGGAAATGATTTGTCCCCGTACCCTCGTTAGATTCCCGCGTAAGGTGGCGCGGGTTCCTGACGAACTGTTAAAAGTGCTTTTGTGTAACTCGGAGGAGATGAGCTCCTCTGTATGAATACATGTTTACATTTTTTTGATTGCGCATTCTCTTATTTTGTAAGTTCGCCTTGCTCATCTTGTATTTTGTATAGCACTGAACTCTTAATTAATTGATAATGCTCTCTGAGTATTTGAAGCTGCAATCACTTGACTGCCGTCTATGAATCGGTAGATCGGAGGTATTGGAGTCGGTGGTAGGAAACGCGGTTCCCTAAACTTTTTTCTCCAGCACGCAGCCCATGATTACTCCTGAATAAGTGGCTTGCTGCAGTTTTTATTTTACGGGTACAGATTTGATCCGGTATTTCGTTTAACTGTGTACTGACCTACGCGGCCAGGTTATGCTTCCTGTCTGTGACATGGACTTCGAACTATGCCAGTAGCCTCCTGGCTCTAGTGTACGTCAGTGGCTTGTTACTTTACAGTACTTCGGCTTTTTAGACATCAGAGAAGAAATGGGGCGCTACGGCAGATTTCAGTGGTATCTGTTAATGTACATTTTTTTCGTGCCCTCTTTCTCTAGGATGTTTGAAAATGATTAAACAACTGAATTATTTTGGCCTCAAAACTATCTAGAGACTTATTTTTATTTTAAAGTCTAGATTTCATTTTTTTGAGTGAAGAGCATTATAGCGGATTCCCCTCGAAAATAGTGTCGGAATTAGAATCATTTTGATTTTAATGAAGACTAGTCGCGTCGTAGCTATGACATTGGACTTCTGAGCGTTTATTACTATGGGGTGAGCCTCTCTGGTGGCTTACTGTTTGATGTAAATTTCGTCAGAGACTCTCGACATCAAGTAAAACATTCTCCAAATCTGTGGCGTCGCTGCGGAAATCTACTAGACAATGGGTGCGTCCCTGTATAACTGGGGCAGATTGTGTTAACTACTGAATGTAGTACTTCGTTTGTTCACCCTCGTAGTCATTACATTCAAACATTGGAAGTTATTAAGTTGGGTAGAATTTATAGGTATGTTCTCATAAACCCACTCCTCTTTGCCTTAATTTCTTTAAAAGTTAAGGAAAGTAGCAGACCGCACCGAAGAGCTAGTGGGTATAATGCTAATGAGTTTTCATTTTCTGGTGTCATCATTCCTCAACCAGAGCTGTTCATTTCTACCCTTAAGTTGGGCAATTCTCCTCTCAATTCTAGTCATGTCTTGAGCAGCAATCTCGTCCACCCCAATCACATAGCCCGTCTCTAAGAGTTGCAAGCAGCGGCGAAAGAATTCCAGACCCTGAGGAAGGGATTTGCCTCTCATTGTCTGCCTGAGAATTCCACTGACAGCAGCGTTAAAAATAGCAGCGGTGTCACTGACCTCGGATGCAGGGATTCTGTCCCCTGGAAAGGGGTCGTACTGAAGGAGACTTAGAAAAAGCAGGAAGTTGAGGCGGAGAAGCTCGTTGCTTAGGACGGCTCCAGGACCCTGGCATTGCTTCTTGGACACGGGAAGTCCGTGTAAAATGAGACGACTGTTATTTCTGAAGTGATTGAGAATGAGGATAAACATAACAATAGAGTACGAGATCACTACAACACAGACAATAAGGGCAGTCGTTCGGTTTGGTTCTGTACTATTTTCTACTTCGGAGGCCGATTCTTTTGATGTGACATTCATTTTGCGTACTTCTCAGGCAGATTTTGAAACAACGATCGGATGCACAAACGTGGTAGCCATGTCAGTCTGACTTTTACGTGGAGTACTATGGCAACGAGGGGGATAAGCAGTCAGTTCAAATTTTTTTTATTTACCTTGAATTCAGCGTATGATTTATTTTGGCCTCAGGAAAAGCTTGAGGCGTTACATTATAAAAAAATTCAGTCGAATAATAAGAATGATAACTAATGATATCTCCAATTGAGAATAAGGATATGCGTCAACTGTTCCACTTTATCGGGGAGTAAAAGTGCAATTTTTTAAAGGCTGGATTTAAGTGTGCTGATGAGTTGACGGCTTTAACGTTTTCTCAGCGCATTTACAGCCTCCGAAAATATAAGATTAGGCGAAGAAATTGCACAAGTATAAAGCTATTCAAGAAGCCCACCCACATGCCTAGTAAAATGGCTATAAATGGGTTAGGAGGGAAGGATTTGCAGAAATGAATTCATATTTTTGACCAATTATTAAAAATATTGCAAAAAGAGGCCAAAATAGCTAAATATCTGTATTGCATATGAGCAATATAATTGTTATTGAGGTGTTTGCTGATACAACCTTTAAGATATAACTTTTAATTATAACGAAACTTTAGATGAGATTGTGTGCGTGAAAGCATCAAAAGATTTTGCCAAAAGTTATCATAAGTCAACCATCAAATAATAAAATTCAATATTAAAATGAAGAATTTGCTTTATTCATAAGCTTGCGAATATTGAATTAGGCCTTGAATGAATCTTGTTTTGCCCACCTATGTGGTAGGCGTACTTCTTGGAGGTCGTCGGTTGTGGGAATAAGCATCGTTCATACTTTGATGTAATTATGGCTTCTATTGTTACTCCAGGACTGAAAGACGGTAGCAAACCAGATTTAATTTCTATCATCAGCGGGTTCGAGGGTGACGTACATGATGCTATTTTTATTGCGAAGGAGATTTACATTTTGACCAGTTCCGAGGACAGGTTATTACATTGCGTTATTTTTCTAAATAGTTTAGGGCCTTGCGATTATGGGTGATGCGTGACAGTGGAAGGTACTGGCCTTCTGTTGAGAAAGCTCTTCCAAGTACTTACTCATTTGTCGGCAGTTACCTTATCATTTAGGTCCCGCCGTCATAATATTATTTGACAAGCAAACAAGTCGAATTTGCACGGGATTGGCAAATGGGACGATATCTGACTTTACATTGAGTGCAGATTACAATGGCATTAATCACAATCGGGATATCTTAGCCCATGTTGATCGGATTACCGGACTTTTATGGATTAGAAAGCTGAAGCTTATCATCTCAACCTCAAAAGACCAAACCGCTAGTTGGTTTAATGATGAAAATGGCCAACAATTAGGGTCGTTTAATATTGAAGCCGCCGGAACCTGTCTTCAGTATGAGTTTATTCCAAATATCCATTAAACTATTTGTTTTCCTCTCATTTCATTTTAGTGCAGTGCTCACTTTGTCTCATTTCTAGATTTGATGTGGCCACAAACTGTCTGTTCGTAGGAGATGCCAATGGGCGAATCACGCTCCTCAGTTTCGCCAAGTCGCGTGACCTCTCCTCCTACGAGTTGATCCGTCAGCTCCACGGTCACACCAAATGCGTGACTTCTATGTGCTGGGATGGTGTGACTTCTCGTCTCATTTCATCATCTGCTGACAACTCTGTTATTCTCTGGGACATTGGAGGTGGCAAAGGAACAGCTTTTGAGCTCCAAGTAAGCCTTCCTTTGCCTTGTTTTGGACTCCGTCAAATTCCATATTTGTCAGCATTGCTCTGGTACACTACTCTTTTATTGGATAATTTTGAAGCTGAGTTTGACACTCCTCACTCGCCTAATAGAGCTTAAGTTTGTGCCATTTTCGTCCCAATTCCGGGATGTATTGAGTGCCGATGAACTTCTAATCTACTAGGTGGAATTTTCGTCATATTTCATTGTTGTTGGCATTTCTTATCCTAACTCCGTCGCCAAAAACTTTCCTCCACAGAACTTTAGCTAAATTAACTTTTTTATCAATCACGCAGAGTAATGTTTCATATGTCGCACATCTGTCTCTAAACCTTCAAAATGTGTCCAGTTCCCTCTTGGCGGCACCTGTACTTTTGAACTCGCTTTATTTTCACCACTCAGCGATTATTTAAAGACGTAGCTGAAGTAAACAACTTTGAACTTGTTTTGTCATTTTTTTCCTTCTGATTAGTGGATTTCTCGCTTGCATAAACCAATACGCAGTCTATATTTATTTTCTATATCACTGCATCTCTCATTTTATTTTTCATCGTGTGAATTTGTAATTGAGACAGAAAACAAGATTTCATCTCTATCATCATTAAAATGGCTTGCGAGCCCTAGTTGATTGCTAGTTTATTTGTAGTAAACAAAAGCCCCACGTTTTTTAAATTGCAACAGCTCACTAACGTTACCTTTTCTGTGCTCTTGAGATCTAAGTCCTATTGTCCCAAAAGACTCAATCACCGAAGTTGTTTTGGAGAGCTATGTATTAGTTTCTTTATTACAAACGCAGCATCTGTCTCATATCCGTTACCAGGGCTAGTGTTGGCTCTCGGTAAGCATCGAAAACTGCATGCTTAGTGTTGTGCTAACAACTCCTAGGTAAGTCTTTACATTCCCAGTTAAGTTTGCCTTTGGTTGCTACTGCTTCCTATTTAACTTAATATTTATTAAACCAGGAATATGTCCCTTAAAATTCCCAGTCGGCTCTACCAGGATTTGTTACCTTGGTCATGCCGTTGCTGCGATGAGGAATGGTCTGCGAGTATAATTTCTACATGCCAGCCCACTCTACAGGCGCCGGTACACATCTCTCATATCCTGGACGAGCTACCTCCCCATTTTCTGGGTTCGCGAGGTGTGGAAGGTGACTCACTAAGTTCAGAATGGGTATCATCGGTGCTTACGGACACACCTCAGATGATCAGTCGTATATTTCATTTGCACTTTTCTTGCTATTACTGCAAGTAATGAGCATTCGCTTTCGAAAGCTTACCAAACTGAAAAATTTCCCGCATAAGTCCGAACAGTTTTCGTCCCTACACCCGCCAAATCCACCTTATCTATCTATTTCATTAATTAAAAATTGACTCATTAGCAAACATTGCATGCATCAGTACAGAAGTGGTTTTGTCCACTGTTCCACACGGTGGTAGGTATGATGGGCGGGTAGAGATGAGTGCGATTTATCGAAAGCTGGAGAGAGGGTACTACCTTCATCATGTCTACTTTTTAATATTTTGTTAAATGGAATAAAGCTTAATCAACAAACAATGCAACATCACGGTGATGGGCAGCTCTGGGCTCTCTTCTTTGTCGCTTTGAGTTACAGGCTGTGTTTTCGGTCACACTTTTAGAACAACAGTCATCGAGTGGTTTTTACCTACACTAACGTTCTTTATAACTCCTCTCAAAAAAAACTGACCTTTGAACCGACCATGTGCAAAGCTACGGATTCTGCAAAGACTAGTAGGCGGGTGAAAAGATGCATTGAGTGACATGGAGGAAAGAAGATCTAGGCGCGGGACACGCTAAACGGCTTTATTTTCTCTGTTGCAGGGTCACAGGAGCACCGTCACCTCAGCTAAGTGGTGGCACAAACCAGTCCCCTCCACTGCTACTGCTGGCAATGGTGAAGATACAAAGAGTTTCCGGCCTGCAGCCGCCAGCGTCGCCACCTACGTCATCTCTACAGGTCTGGATGGTCTTGTCTTCTTCTGGCTTATTGACGGTGAAAGCGCCCATGGCCGCCGTGTTAGACGTCAGGAGACGCCCAACTGGGCCGAGTCTGACATCTGCCAGCTCTGCTCTGCACCCTTCTTCTGGAATATTAAGAAAATGTGGACTGACATGTCAGTTGGTGTTCGGCAGGTTAGTTCCTTTAATGCACGTGGAGGCATATGAAAATGTCGCGGAGAGGGTGTAACCGACTCCAAGCTGTTGCTAACTCACTCTCTCGTGCTGTGATGCATAGCCGATAGGGTAGATTGTTTAGATAATGTAAAATAACCGACCCTAAAAGGTAATCACCACCGCGTCATTTGCGATTACGAGTGACACATCCAGTCACCACAACGGGCCAATTCATTCACATTGACCAATAGTTTGACTACCATCTGAAGAACAAGCTTACACAATGTGCATAACTTGGTCAGATTTCTCTCGGTACACCCACAAAAACCTCCGTTTCGGACCATCGCACATTTTCAGCATTGAAGTAGTCACCGATTCACGTAAAAACCTATTTGGTGCTTCCAGTCTCCACGAGCCATCACACCGCTTGTCAAGACTACAGGAATTTGTAATTCAATGGCGCAACGACTTACGCGTACTTTAATTCGACTAGATAGAGCGTGATGACAATGCTTTACTTTGTTAATCACTCTCAGCACCATTGTCGCCGATGTGGAAAAGCCGTGTGTGAAAAATGCTCGTTGAACCGCTCCGTCTACCCGGTGATGGGCTTTGAACGTGAGGTCCGCATGTGCAATGAGTGCTTCAAGGCCATTTCTGGAGAGGAGTAAGTCCATTCTCCCTATTTCTTTTGTAGAGTATCCATATTGGCAAGCCTAAACCATACTTATGTCTTCTAATAGTCTCAACAGTCTGGCGCATTACTTTGATGCCCGCCACCCCATTGTGCGCCAACACCTTCTGGGTGATTTGAACTTCATGCTCACCATCGGAAAGAATAAGGAAGTTAAGGTGGGTGGGTTTACATCCCCTTCTCTGGATCTTCCATGTCTTCGATTCACACTTTCGATGGCTTCACTTCTTTAGGTGTGGGATCTGAAATCATTCCTATGATTTTACACTGTTCAGCGACTCCATCATCACCTTTCGTCCCCTACCGTAAAAGGATAAAAAAGACATCCTCGCGAGACTAACTTATGTGTTGTTTATCTGATCTAACCTTTCTCTCCGGCACGACACGATTCACATCCAAAGTGACGCTTCTGTAAATACTCAGTTTGAGTTTGCCTGGTGTTTTTTAGCAACAAATGCTGTCATTGCTAATAAAATACCTAGATTGTTTATATTGTTTTAAGAAGTGCAAAAAATGTAGAAAAAGGAGGGGACCTGGGACGAGAACCTTCATGCATCACTTGTCCCATTCTGGCCAAGTAAGACAATAATGCAGGCGTCTGTTGGCGTACTCGGGGTCCAGTTTATCCTCAAAGAGACGCAAAAATGTTGGCATGCCTTTTCCAACAATCTGATCACTTGATAAAGCGTCTAGGTGTGCAAGTTGTTTGCGGATGTAGTGAACAGCGGAGTCGAGATGAAAGGCCGAAGTGTAAGACGATGCGAGGAATAAGTTACGCCAGACAGCAGCTGCCAGAGCAGTATCTGAGTGCAGCAAAAATGCCTCATCATAAGCAAAAACAGAGCCAAAAAACTGCATGTTGAATACTTCGACGTGGTCATGCTGTTTACGAAGTATGCCAAATGGACGCATTCTGCCCTTCAAGTCAGTCCAGATTAACTACAAGGAACGCAAATATGAGTGCGAACGATTCACAAACCTGAATAAACGCTTTTTTAAGAATTTGAGCCTCTTGCCCCTCTCTACGAAGGCGGACTAAACACATCCAAATATGAAGAGTCGTAAGCGAAAACCATGTCTGGAAGGTGTCTGGCAAATTAAGATTTTCGATGAACTCTTTAAGGTCTGGGTATTCAGCGCAAATTGCGAACATGTTGGCGCCAGATAGCTTCAACCGCCCAGTGGGATACCTCAAACCATGTCCCATTTGGTATTTTATGGCGTTGAAGAAACCTGGTTTGTCCTGTGGCAAACTTTGAGGTGGTAAAGCAGAAATCATCCTGTAACCCCCGTAAATGCCGGGTGGTCTAACACGCCATATATAAGGGAACTTTGACCACACAGGATACATAAATAAAGGAAACAAGCTGGACCCTAGCCTTATAGGTCAAAGGGTGAAAGGCTTAACTGTGACCAAGTTCTTACCAATAAACTTGACCCAAATAAAAAAAAATCGCCACTTTCTTTACGATGTAAAAAGTGTATATTCTGCTTTAAAAAGCCCTGCATTAAAAATTATGCTTTAAAGAGATCGTATAAGTCACAGTATTACGTAGATCTGATTATTTCGATTTGCGTGGATTTAAGGTTCGTATATTCAAAAATCTGTAGTTAGACCACAAAAGGACTAATGTTAGATCAAAAGGCCATTAACGTATTTGTAAGCGCAGATTTGCATTGTGTCAAATTAATTAGTGCACATTTAGTAGTAAACAATCGGCAAGGCATTAGTGCCTAAATTGCGGATTTAAAGTAGCAATATAAAGCAAAAAATGCTAATTATCAAATAATTAGGGGCAGTAACCTTTTTTACTAAATAATATTACAAAATAAAAAAGTGTTTGCACCTTTTGGAGCAACTTATTTTGCTTATAGCTCATTTAAACTTTGTAAATGCAAAGCCTTTTTTTAATTTCTACATGCATACAATTTTCTTTCTTGCCCTCGACCTTGGATATTGATTTTCTACGTACCAACTTTCAAATAATCTGCGTTTTATTGCGTTATCCAATGCGCATATTTGTTCGATGAACAAGAAGAAAATATTTGTCTTAATAGCTAGAATGGGTTTTGAAACACTTAAATTTATGCGCTCTTTAGATTTGCACAGAACCACATGCATCATTACCTATTTTGCCAAATCTTTACATAATTTGCTATAACATAAGTATCACCATACTAAATTTGGTAAAAATTAGTTTCGCTTTTCGATTTTACGGACGCTCTAGAGCTATACGTAAGCCTACATAGAGTCACTTGTAGATCTGTAGAATTATTAGGTTACATTTTTCTTTTATCACATGTAATTGCTGAAATTTTTGGCGGGAGATTGTTTTTTTTTTTCCTTACAGAATGGTATTCTCCTGTGACGCTCTTATTTGGCCAATTTTTTCAGTGTGTTACGTTATTGCTATGCTTTCAGTTTTCCTGTCTTCTTTCGAATCATTCATTGTCAATGATGTCCACCCACTTAAATTTAACAGCTCGCCACCACTGGCTAAACGTGTGGTTTTCATCACAATCGATGGCTTAGGAGAACATATTTTGAGGAGGACTAAGCACAAATACGTGAAGTTTTTGACGTGGGTATTTCTCTATCTACTGGCCTCTCCTATTCTTCCTCAGAATAGTGTGAGCGTTCTCATGGTATCCCTACTCAGCACCATTTTGCCATCCAACTCCCAGGTACTGATCAATTTGACCTCAACCCAAAGTCATCCACTTAGAGTATTGTACCTGTCCATCTACTGAACACGTCTGCAGAGGTCAAGGCTAGTCTGATTCGGGACAATATTCGTCATTTAGTAAAACTGCGAGAGGTAGGGCTTAGTAAAAGGAGGACTTATTTCTCAAAAGGCACTAATTCGTAGGGCGAATAGACACTCCATTCTGCCTCTCTTCTTTGCCCATGAGGAAGATCTTCCGGATGACCTTGATGCTTTGGTGGAGAAAGAAATGGCATTACAGAGATCGCTTCAAATTGCTTCCTGGCTTGCTTGGTTTGTTGATTTGTAAGATCTGTTCTATTTAAGCCAAAACCACATTCGAATGTCTTTGCTGTTGGTCACTTATTTTTGTGTCTGTATGTAGATGGGTTAACTGGACTTTGATCCTTTTGGGGCAGATGCCCTTACTAATCCACTGACTTATAAATAATTTAGTCTTGATTATTGTACAACTTTGCCCATTTGTTACATTATTTTAGCGCCTTCTTGAAAACACGAGATCTGTAAAATCACGAATTTTCTAATTAAATATAGATAATATATTTATTTCATTTAAAACTGAACCAATCCTAATTGTTGTATCTTAATTTGCTGGTACATGAATTACATCTGAGTTATGCCACCTCAACGGTTCATAAAGGATTCATTGTGTTGTTAGGAGTTGTAAAAAAACCTGCAAAATACTTCAAAGTTGAACACATCATCCCTGTAAACTGATAAATGGAACTCCATCGGTATCCGCTTTTCAACAGTACACCTTTCAAGTTTAGCCATTCCGCAAACATCCGATGCTATACTAGAGTCAACTCAAATCAAGTTGTGACGGATGTAGTAGCTAAATTTGCTTTGAATGGGGGTGTTGGCAGCCTCTGTTATCGTCCAGGAATTGAATACATAAACCACCAATAAAGGCCGCTGCAATATTAGAAAAGCGTCTCATTCCGATTCCATACAAGTTCCAATTAATGGCTAAGCTCCGAACCTTCCATAGAGTGTAATGCTCTTGTTAGTTTGCTCGCTAACTCCATCCCAATTGACTCATGCCAAGCAGAAATAAACTCTAACCACTCTGACAACCGCTTAAGGATCGAAGCCAATCAATTACTATGGTTACGTGAAGAGTCAGTGGTACAGGCATATGCGCACTCAAGTAAGCTGCTCTCTTTAGTCCTCGATCACGTGCCCACTGGCGGTGGCCCCTGCTTGCTTAAATAATAACATGTACTTTACAAATATACCGCACTTACTGTTTCAGCATATTCTGGACACTATCAGTGGTTTTGCTGTCACTTGCTCTGGCCATCAATTTGACAGACTTGCAGTCTCGTGTTCCTCTCTCAAAAAGTTGCTTCTACTGTCGCCTAGGCATACTTGGACTTGCTTCCATAGAATTATATCGAGGTATTGCTCCATATAATTACTTGATATGACCACAGCCTAACCAGTGTCACATTTCATTTTAAAATGTGTATTTCTTTTTCCTTTTTATGCTTCAGTCTTTCGCTGGCTTTTGGGTAAGTAAAAATTTTTTGGCTGCAGATGGTTAAATGCACATTAGGATTAGGACGAATGATGGCTTCAGCAATATTTCTTCTTGCAGTAGCTTCAGTGATGGAACATGGGACTGTTTCTCCAATGTATTCTTACATTTTAAAAAGAGTACTAAACATGTTCGTGAAAACTAAATCTCTAATAGAAACAAGCTTTTTTAACCCCTTTACTATTGTATTTTCGAGTTTGTCTAAACTAAAAGTCGAGCATGGGATAGAGAACTACAAACACCAAAGCACTTTTCCCTCCTTATTTTCAGACTATAATGAAGAACCAAACTATCGAGAAATGATTACCCTCAACTTCGGTTGCATCGTGTGCGAATTTTTTCTTGGTGATTATGCTACAGCCGGACGGAGACTCCTGGCCAAATTATTTAAATCCACAGGGCCTCAAAGAAGGCATATTTTGCGTCTCCCTCTCGCAATCCTTCAGGCCTTTTTAATAGTAATCTTGTCTTTTGAAAAAGTCAACCACTGTGCGATTCTAGATAAAGGGATTTGATGAGCCGCGGTGCTTTGCAGCAACTGGAGCACTTTTTACAGTGGATCTGGCGTTTGACGAGACGGTCCGCCGAAAAGGCAAATATGTAAGTTGAACTATTCACAATTTCAAATATTTGTAAATCTTATTGTAAAATTTACACCTTTCTAAATTCTTAAATAGGATGTTTGCTTTTTCGTCAACTCATTTTTAGTCTTACACGACAAATTAATTGGATATGGTGTTTTTCCTATCTAATCATGTAGCAACTGCTTGCAAGTTAAGAAATGACGCTCAACCGTCTCATTTTACAATAAAGACTGTAGTAAATCTTTTCATTATATTCCACCCAAAATAACAGGTATGTAAATTCATTGTTTCTTATTTTCTAGGCGGTCCTTCTGTTGATTGCCTTAGCACTACTTTTGGGGCTGTGGATTTACATTTTGCATAGCCGGTCAGGGATAGATGAGGCGAATTTGACGTAGTCCTCTCCTTCTAACCATCCTCCATTCTAGAGGTTTTCAAGTTCTGTTTGTACTTTTACTCGCTCTATTTTGGTTCATATTCAACCGTCAGATCGGTGCTGTGAAGGCAAGTTTAATTCCTCAGAGAGCTCACATTCACACTCCAAATTAAAGTTTTTTTTTATGCTTCATGCAGACAGGTCAGATTTCCTTTTGGGAGTGGGCACTCTTGGAGCTACGTGTCTTGTTATTTAATGTATCCTTTTAGAGGTTATGAAATTTCAGTAGTATAGCTGTCATACCTTACAAATTAATTTGTAAATGTAAAAAAGTTAAAGAAGTTGACCTCTTAGGATGTCAAAAAAGTGCCATATTTGGCATCAAAAATGACTTAAAGGTCATTTCAGTAATTTTTCTAAAATAACTCTGCTCATAACAAGTATGGACTCATTTTTTTTAGTGATCATGAATTTTGGCGCTATTTAAAAAAAAACCTAAACGAATTGCATCATCAGTTTTCTTTTGCACATTTTGAAATAAATAGGTAAGAAAAAGTACAATTTAATAAGTTTGTGTGGTTCTGTAATTAGGACTAAACACTGACGAACAGCTTCTTAGCATAATCGGCATTGCGATGCATCATCATCCGTAATCCTTTCCCAGGAGTTGCCAACTGACGACTTCTTTATTACTAAAACAACTTGCCTCCGAAAGTTAAAAAAAAACCTGTCTAGAACTTCTGGTATTTCTTTTTGAATAAGTATTGCCAGAAGAATAGGAAAAAGGAAGGTGAGGTGATATATTTCTCCCCTTTCTATTAATGGGGCCTTCTCACGAGTGAAAAGCCGGTCTTTTGTAGTCTTGTAAGGTTAGGACTTTCCTCTCACCAACAAAGTGGTCTCCTCCTGAGACATTTTTTTTCACACCTCCAAGGTGTGCACACCCTTTAATCAGAGAACGATTGCACTTCCAGTCTATCACACACAAATTTACAAAAATGTATTTTAGGCTGAATTGCTGCCTTAGAACGAAGAGTAAATAGCTTAGATGGTTGTCAATATACTTGGAATTCGATGTTGCTTGTTATGGGCCAATGTACGATTTGGATTGAGGAGGGTCACAATCGTCAAGACTTCCAAGGATTAGCAATTAATTGAAAGTTGAATTTAATCAAATGGGAACAAATTTTTCGAGGTTGCAGGCAGACGTTGCACCTTTCCTCACAAAAGAAGTCAGTAACGACTATTACCATAGTTTGGGCCTTTGCATACCGAGGTGTCGTCCCGGTGCAAAAGATTGGGAAGTTCCGCCGACGAGCCTGAGTCCTTTCCTCCGCGGTGTTCTGTACAACAGAGTCCACAGATGGAGGCGGTACCTGGACGATGTCAAGCAGCATGCTCATCTGTAGAGTACCATGCTGAGGTGTATCGCCATGTTTCAGCCACGGTTGTGATCCCTTATGCAGGCGTGAAGTCCGATCTCGACGTTGAATTTAACTTCAGCGTGTTCGAGTAGGACCTTTCCATTCGATAAATCGCAGGTGAGGATGCCAATGTCAATTGTGAGTCTCGATAAAATTTTTAGGCCATATCTCTTGAAGCCGTTTCGTAACCTTGGAACTGTCACTGCGTGCCCCGGTGAAGCTAGTGTCCATTAGAACTTCGGCTAATGTGCAAATAAAAACCCTTGGAAGATGTTACCAGTCGCCTTTTCCCCTTGTGATCTCAACTGTGCTTGTTCGAAGGTGTCAACGAACTTCCACACTCGCTCGCGGCAATATAGGGTTAAGCAGTGGGGAGTGAACATGCACAAATACACGTTGACTGAATAAGTCATGAAACTGTGGTTTGTTGTTTAGAACCAACGTCTTTGGGAGTCCATGTTGACTGAAGAATCGGTGTATTATTTGTATCATCTTGATGACCATAGATGGAACCCCAGGCGATATTTCCGGTCTCTGTGACATGGTATCCATCATTAAGTGGTAAGAGACGTCGCCGATTGGAACGGCGAAGTTGAAGTTAAGCAGTCCTGACAGCTTTACTGACTGAGGTTAAGGTATTGGTAAGAATTTTGGGGAAATCGTTGCCTCTTGTTGAACTTCGGTGATCCTCGGGAGAGTCGGAACAGCATGGATGAAGTGGTAGGCTGACACAATCTTTCTGACGATTGCTGTCGATGGCTCGAAGGTATGCGCTTGATTGTAGGTGGCTGTGGTTGACAGCTCCTCCAACCTTTGTTTCTAAAACCAGTTAATTTCATGTAGGTTCATGTTAACCTTCGTGATTTGGTCCATTGCAGCGATAAACATGTCTAGGAAGGATACCGAGCATTGATGTTGACGGAAAGGTTCGGTTAGGAAGTCCATTGAACTGGTGGTTTGCCAAACCAACGTCGGTGTCCATCTGTAATCTCACTATACAGTCATTGAATTGGGTGGTGGTGAACCTTGGACGAATGAATACGTTTAGCTGAAAGGCATTCATCACGTTGGGTTGTTAGCAAACTTAGGCACTGTCTATCCCTTCCAAACAGTTTGAATAGAGTCCCTAACAAATGCAGTCAACGTAACCAAGGCAAGCCTATCTTTTTGATTAACAAAGTTACGGCAGTACTTGACGAACTGCCCAGTTCTCCCATGCTTAAGGGAAGAAGGAGGCATTCCCTCGTTCATGAAATTGGTATGCTAGACGTTAGAATATCGGTTGGATCTCTACGGGGAAGTATGGATGGATCAACGAACAGCATGGATCTGGGAACTGTCTTTGATCCTCGGCTGATCAAAAGAGTGCCATGCAGCAGATAGGTAAGGCATTGATATTCCTCAAAGATTACCATGAAGTTAGGTGCTATTTAGGACGCTTCAATAGGCACACCCGAATTTCTACAAGTTTTGGTGATTATAGTCAGCAGATGAAGGTGAATTAGAGACTTTATATTGAATAGAGTCTCACGTCTCATGAACTAATCAGCGCCTAGTATTCACATCACATATTGAATTCCCACGATCATTCACCGAATTGGCACCGTAAGAACTTCACTGTCTAGTCAAGAGCACGATCTTGTAAATTTCAAGACAATATCAGGTTACAGTAATAAGTTCTGCTTAACCCAGGTTACAAAACAAAAGGTGGGCCTTCTGTGCATCACCCTGTGCGGCAATTTCGACCTTGAAAAAGTTTTTGTACCATCCCACCGTACATCAAATGTTACTTTATCCTCATGGGTCATGGTGAAATTTCACTATGGTAGTTACACTGACATCTATTAGTGGCACGACTACTGTGAGAGGCTAGGCAAACGAAAACACAACTTCAGCTTATTTTAACACCAACCACGGCTTCAAGTGGTACTCTATAGGTAGTACAAGCTTTGCCGGGTTCACAATCTAAATGCCAATTTCTGCGTTGTCAACACTTGTAACCTAGCGTTTTTGTGCTCGAGTGATGTGCATCTCTTTGAGGCTACCAACCAACAATAAGCAACTGAATATCTCGATGTACTTTTTTTATTGCTAAGACCTAAAAAAACTTGGTGTCATTGAGTCTACGTCTGAGTCATTGATCATTCTTTCAATTATGCGTAACTATCGCAACGGTTCACCCTTGGCATTCGAGTGGTTATCAGGCCATTCCCTCGTAATATGAGGAGCAAGAGATTTTTTTTGTAGAGCGTGGTCTTCCTTAGCAAACTGTCACTTGTTGGCTCATGCCATCAAGACCCATTTCTCTAGTAGCTCCCTACCTACTTGCCAGAGGGAAAAACGAGTGTTTTCATTTCAAAAATTACTAAAATGTTTCCTTTTATAAGTTCGTTTCCAATTATTTTAGTCGGAAGTCCCACCAAATTGCCCGTAATTCATAAAAGAAAATTATCTCAATCATCATGCATCTTCCACCAACTTCAATAATTTTTTTTAATTATTCATTTCAGTAGAGTATGATTTGCTACTCCACCTCTAAATGCACATCCAGACATTCCGAAATCGTACCCAATTCTCTTAACACTTGATAAAGTGATATTTCAAGAAGGAGAAAAACATTAAGGAACGCAATAGAGGGCATCCAACTGGTAGACCGACGAATTTTAACACCCCACGGTAAATATTCCAAGTCAAGAGCGTGTTTTTTACAAGTCTAAGTAAGCTTAAGATGTGTTGCATTGAAAAGCACAAAAAAAAACTTTTCTCCAGCTAGGAGCATATTATTTTTGACAAAAAACACCGCTACTTTACACCTTTCCCTTATCACATCGGTATAATTCCTTCTGCTGAATACCTATATGTTCGGGTTGAATATATATTCGACGAGCACAATGTAAGTTTAACCTGTATTTGTGAATGTCAAATCATATTACCGTAAAAAAAAACAAAATCGGTGCAAACAGTCACAATTTCGTTAACTTTGCATGCTAAACTATTAGCCAAGGAAATCCCAGCACATGGTCACTTATCCTTGCCTTAACTGAGTACTTGCAAATTATGTGGAAAAACCGCTTAAGGCAATGCTACACTTGATCACAAACAACTCTACTTGCTTGCATAGGCTAAATATTTTGGGCTAAAACTGGCTCCCATATCGCCTTTTCTAAATGCACATAATCATTTCCTTCACAGATCGTCCATGTTGAAAATTAGGGCTGGGTGGAACCACATTTCAGGGAGAATAATCCTGGTTTGTATTATTATTTTTTTTGTAAAGTCCTGCCATCATACTTACTGACTGTTTCATTAAAAGTGTTGAGAGGTAATACAATTGTAGAAGATTGGGCAGAAATGAATTCCCACTTGCTTTATTATGTAAATCTTTTCGGTCTTGCATTGGACTCTGGTCCCGATTCCTGCCATGCTGTGACAGACACTCCTTTAAGTCAGTGAACATATTAGGTTAACCACATTATTTATTGTTTCTACGCATTAAAACATCCAGTTTTTCATATGCTTTTGCACTACTAGTTTAGCTTTTTGCCTATTATAATAATTAACTTGCTTGCTTTGGTTTGTTCCATCGCAAATTCTGTTTTAACACTTAAGTTTGAATTGTGGATTTTGAAGAGGATGATCATCCCGTATTTCCAGAATTCTTTGCGATGTAAGACAGACTGCTATTCATACATAAAGATTTCAATTCAAATACCTTTCAACAATACTATGAGCTTCTTTCCAGTAAATCTGCTTTCAAATACAACAACATATTTTAATTTGACAATACTGCTCACGCTCAAATTTTCTGTTTTCACCTATAGATAAATGGGCCAGTCCTTGCCCTTTTCATTGCCTACGTTTATTCCACTTGGAAAAGAGAGCTTCAGCATGGCGTGTCAGCTTTGCGTGCGCAAGCACTCGTCTGGATCCTTTTCACACCACTCACATTTGCTCAAGGCACTA